TAAATAAATAAATAAATAAATAAATAAATAAATAAATAAATAAATAAATAAATAAATAAATAAATAACGTGTATGGCTAATTCTGGGTCATGGGCTTTATTTTCTGTCTCCTATCATTTCTTATATAAAAAAGAAACATTAGAGGACAAAAGTCAAAAGGCCTCTTTGTTGCCCTCACTCCTTCCTGAGAGGCCACCCTCCCTCTGGGGTCTGGTTGTCCTTCCAGTTCACAATTTTATACATTGTTACATTTATGTGCAGTCATTAGCAAAATCAAGTTTTGCTTCCAGTGTTTAAAATTCTATATAAATGCTCTCCTAGCATTCTGCGACTTGCATTTTTCCATATTGCTATGAGTGGACCTAATTTATTCATTTTTAACTACTCTATAGTATTTCATTATATGAATGATTCAGAATTTATTTATTACCCTATTGTGGTTTTTATCTTTAAAGAGGAACAAAAACACTTTTTAAAACCCCAAGAACTTTGGAACCCCCAATGAGAACAGAAGGGCTATGCAGGGCAGTCTCTTGCAAGGGCGAAGCAGATAACACAGGAGAAAGGTGGGCTCGGTGGTGTTCGGCTGACTGGGAGCCCATTGCGCCCTCCTGAAGGAGCAGCTCCTCCCCAGCATCAGCCTTAGATACCGGGCAGGGGTACCAGGTAGGAATGCTGGCCCCGTGTGGCCCACGCCCTTTATGTTAAAAAGAAGCTAGAAATCTGGATTTTTTATGAAATGTCTCCATTTTTAAACGTCAGCAACTGATCTATATTTTCAAAAACTCTGTATCCAATGGAATGTCATTAGCGCAGCGCGCGCCTCCAGGCCACCAGTGGGCGACTGCTGATGCCCTCAACCTTGTTGTATGCGGAGGAAACTGAAGCCATAAGCCAGGGCTTGTGTATAATCCTGGTCCTGTTTACCTTTCCTGTGTCCCAGGCTCCCCTAAGCAACCTTACCAAACAAAGCCCGAAGCCCCCCTCCCTGGCTCGCCATCCCCTGTGTCTCCCTGGCAGCTCTGCCAGCCTGAGGCTGTAGACGGCCTCCCCCCCAAAGTGCCCTCCTCCCGGAAGCCTGGACACCACTCCCTCCTGGCTCTCCTCCTTAGTCCCTGGTAGCTCACTGGGTCAGAAGACATCGGTTCTATGCTTGGCTTAGTCTTTTCTTGGCAGTGCCATCTCTGGCAACGGACTGTCCCTTTCTGGGCGTCACTTTTATTCCTATATTATAGATGAGGAAATTGAGGTTCAGAGGATTAGAGTATTTTGCTGTCGGTCACCCAGTTTATAAGTGACAGAGTGGAGACCTCAAAAGCCCATCCTCCTAATGACTTACACCGTCAGAGGTACCGATGTTATCTTCAGGGGGACAGATGTTATAAAAGAAAGAGGTTCCTAAGCCAGCCCCCCACCACAAAGTATGAAACTCCTTGTTCAGGTCCCTTGAGTCATTCTGTCAGATGCCCCTGAGGCTTAGGCAATCAGAGATCGTGGAAGCAGGAACATTTCTGGGAATGGGAGTCCTTTGAGAATTTCCCTGCGGACATGGCCAGGCCATGGAAGAAAGATGTAGGGAACCAGGAAGCAGCTGCAAGGGGGAACTGACCTTCCTGCCCCCAAGGCTGGGCTGGCCCCTAAACCCCTGCTTTGCCTGCCCACCCACCAGATGGTGTTTCCTATGTTCATGAGTGAGCCGGTACCTCCTGAGACACTGGCAGCCACGCTGGCAGAGTTGGATGTAACCCTGCAGCTGCTCGAAGACAAGTTCCTCCAGAAGAAGGCCTTTCTCGCTGGGCCCCACATCTCCCTGGCTGACCTGGTAGCCATCACGGAGCCGATGCATGTGAGTGCTGTGGGCAGCGCGGACCTGCTAGGCAGGGGGGCCTGGGTGGTTACCGAAGTCCTGCTCATGCGCCCCCACCTGGCCTGTGCTTATGTGTGGAAACCTCTTCTCGAGCTTTACGGCCCCCAAATCAAGCAGATGCTGCCATCCTTGGCCTCACCAATCCACATCCACCCCTACCCCTTTCTCCCTACAGCCCGTGGGTGCTGGCTGCCAAGTCTTTTAAGACCGACCCAAGCTGGCTGCATGGCAGCAGTGTGTGGAGGTGGCAGTGGGGGAGGTCCTCTCCCGGGAGGCCCATGAGGTCATCCTGAAGGTTAAGGACTCTCCACCTGCAGACCCCACCATAAAGCAGAAGCTGATGCCCCGGGGGCTGGCCATGATCCTGTGAGCCGAGAAGCCTCGCCCCTGCACTGCGCTTGGCAGTTCACAAATGTCCCTTCATTTCCAGTGTCCCTTGGAGTGACTTGCCCGAGTCCCACTGCACCTCTGCTCCCCAGGCCAGGTGGCTACCCTCACCTCATCTTCCACAACTGCCTGAAAACCACAACGAGAGCGGCATACCCAGACCTTGTCTCCTTTAATTACATTTCATTTTCAGATTGGGAAACAAAGCTGGGCTCAGCCTGAGCCTCTGCTTCTAACTCTGATGTGTGGTTGATTTGACTTTCCTTCTCTCCTGGCACTGGGCTTGGTTTCTATCCAAAAGTCAACCCCCCTTGCTGGGCCCTGTGGGTCCGCTTCCCCAGAGGGTTGCCAAGAGTGAAATTAACAAATGCCCTCTAGACTTGTAGTTCTTGGAGAAAGTGATTTATCAGACAGCATAGGGGCGGCAGGCATCTCTCATGTACGGGCTGTAGGCACAGGGATTGATCAGTTGGCTGGGCCAGGCCCCCAGGACATGGCCCTTTGCCACCAGGGACTGTGGAGCCTGAGTCCTGCATCTGTCCTGAGGAACTGGTCAGGAGGGGAAAATCTAAACAGCAACTCTCCTGGTCAAGACTCAGTCGTGCAGGGCCTTAAATGCTGTGCCAGGAGCTGTAACCCTAAAGGAGAACGGTATGCCCAGATTGCGTTTTGGAATAATATTCTGGCTGCCGGGGTCGGACTGGAGGGTGGCCAGGGAGGAAGCAGGGAGATTGGATGATGCCGCAATCTGGCCAAAGGGGTCTTGTGGAGGGCAGGCCACTGAAGGGGTGGAGAACATGGCCCTCCCAACCGGGAGAGGGCTGCAGCACTAGGTCAGAAGGCAGTCTCCTGGGAAGTAGGTCTTCCTTAAAGCCAGAGCTTGGGGGACCAGGGAGGCCAAGCTGTTCTCCAGTTTCCCAATAACTGACCCTCTTGCCAAGGGGCTTTCCTCTGAATCTTGAGTTTGGGGGCAGGGTCTTCATAGCCAGAAGGCCCTCTTATGGAATGGGGGTGTCAGAGCCACAGGCTTCAGGAGCCCCAGGGCCAAAGTTGGAGGGACTTGGCCCTGCAAAGGAAGTGAGGAAGTTCCAGGCCCCTCTGCGAATCTCCAGATGGGCTCCACAGAGCATCCACTCCCCGGTAGGGATTAGCTGGAGTGTAATGAAGAAGACCCCAGGGATGGGGAGGATGGCTCATTCCTCCCTGGGGCGGGGGCCTGGCCTGTGCAGGGAGTAGGGGTCCAGAAACCCTCCCCAGCCTCTGGGCACTGGGCCCAGTAGAGGCTGCTGCACCTCCTTTCTCCTCCCTTTGTGTTCTCGGGGACTCCGAAGCCCCGTCTCCCTCAGCCCCCTCCCTGGGTGAGGGGGAGGTGGCTTGGCCAACTGCAGGCAGCCCAGCCCTCTCCAGCCTAAATTCACTGAGGGTCTGTGCTGGAAGCGCCCTTGGTGTCGTCCCGTTTCCCATTACCATCCCCCCTGCCCCATCTGACGCCCAACCCTGACGTCCAGGGAAGGGGTATGACCTGGCAGCGAGACTCCCCTCACCCCCGGTCGGAGCCCAGGCCTCCCTGTGCCCTCCCCACCAAGTAAGAGGCCCGCAGCCCGAAGCCCTGGAGACGGAAGGCGGGACAGCGGGGGCGCCGCTGATTGGCCCAAAGTTTTCCGGAGCCGTCCAATGGGCGGGGATGGCGAGGCCGAGCTCGGGCGGGGCTGCGCGCCGCTGTGGACTCGGTTGCCTGGCGATTCCTGCCCGTCGCTCCTGCTCCGCGTCCTGCTCCCCGGGGCTGCCCGCCGCCCCCGCCATGGGCCTGGAGCTCTACCTGGACCTGCTGTCCCAGCCCTGCCGCGCCGTCTACATCTTCGCCAAGAAGAACGGCATCCCCTTCGAGCTGCGCACCGTGGAGCTGCTCAAAGGTGCGCCCGGCAGGCGGGGGGCTGGCGGCGGTGGGGGGACGTAGTGAGGGGGTGGTGTGGGGGTTCTGGGCAGCCTGTGTGGAGACGGACGCAGTCAGACAGACGGGAAGAGACAGACTTTCCAGTGCGGAAACCGTGGCATCAGTTATCAGCTGTGCATTTTTAAAGAGCCTCCACCTTCGCCGAGCGAATACAAAACATTTTTCAAAATACAGGTTAAGAGGGAGCAGAGCAGATAGAAAGCGGCCGGGGGGTGAGTGGGTGGGAAGTGGGATGAGCGCCCCAACACCTCCACACCAGGGCTTGGAGAAAACAGTGAAACTGTCTCCTCATTTCCCAGTGAGAGTGGGCCCCATCTCTTGCGTTTCTGCCTCTGCCGGCAGGAGCAGGTTGTTCCACCTGGTCTCGTCTCCTCTTTACTCCTACCCACCCCTGCCTAGGTCCCACCTTTACAGAATCCAGTGGAGGGGACAGGGCGGTAACTGGCCAGTAGGGCAAACCCAGGATCCAGAGCCCCTTGGGCAGGCCAGGAGGGAGACTCGTGCTTAGCTGAGCCTGCCCACCTTCTGCCTTTGGTGCCCCCAGCAGCTACGCTGCCACCTTGCTCTGCCTTTCCAGCCTTCCTTGGGATGGGGGCTGGGCATAGAGGCAGCTTCTGGAGAGAGAATGGGTAGGGGTGATACTGTCCACTCAGTAGAGGGGCGAAGAGGCCCACAGGTGGGCTTATGGCCAGGCTGGAGCCTGGTTCCACTGAGGCCCTCCCACTCCACACACATTAATTGGTGTACCATCCAGCACTGGCCCGGGCTGGGGAGAGGTATGCACAAGTGAGTCAGACCTGGGAACCCCCAGTGGGGAGGGAATCTTGAGGGTTGGGTGCAGGGAAGAAAGAAGAGCTGACTTGCTGGAAGCAGGGTGGCTGAATGGGGCAGGGGCTCCTAGGGAGAGTGAGGTTGGACTGAGGGCTGGGAGCAGGTGTGGCTGGAGCTCTGGGGTGTGGATAGGTCACCCAGCCTGCATAGGAAGCTGGATTGCAGGGGACAAGCCTAGAGCCCAGGGAGGAGGCTGGAGTGTCTGACGTGTGGATGGAATTGGTGGGGGTGGATGACAGCTCCAGGGAGTCACCCTCCCCCCAGGCCCAGGTTGAGATGGTGCTTGGCCCAGGTCCAAGGGGGGTGGACACAGGAGGGGTGGACCTCTGGTGGGCTCAGTGTCTGTGACTTGGTGACCAGCGGAGTGACCTCCTCTTCTCTGATGCCCCACCTGGATGGGGCCTCGGAAAGCTGGTGCCTGGACGTGGGGGTGGAGCGTGGGCAGAGACCTCACAGTGCTCAGCGTTCACCCCACCCGCCTGTCTCTTCCCCAGGCCAGCATCACAGCGATGCCTTTGTCCAGGTGAACCCCCTGAGAAAGGTGCCAGCCTTGAAGGACGGGGACTTCACCTTGACTGAGAGGTAATGGGTCCCTGGGCTGCTGCTGGGCCTTGTGGGGCCAGTCAGCCACCTGTGTGTCCACTGTTGATGGCTTGGATTGTGGCTAGTGTGTCCTGAACACCTATGCCAGCCCCAGGATGGAGAGTGGGTTAAAGTGGGCAGAGGAGCCCAGGGCTAGGAGGGGCCCCTGGCCTTGCTCCTGGCGTGTCCGTGCTTTGGATATGTTGGGGAGTGGTGCTGGAGTTGCCTCATCCTTCAGGACCCAGGCTGGGTGCCCCTTCGATAATGGAAGTGTTCTCTGAGCACACCCCCCGCCTTCTGAAATCCCATGAGATTTTGGTTTTCGCTTGGTCCCTTAGTTCAGATGATGGGATGGCTAAGTGTAGAGCTGTGCGACCCTGGGCAGTCACCTAATCTCTCTGAGCCTCACATTCCTACTCTGCACCATGGAGATAGTGAAATGCTCCACCCACAGGAGTTGGGGAAAGACATGTGAGGAGGGGGGTCCTACCTCACCCAGAGCCCGGCCCCTGTGGAGTAGCTGAAAAGTGACTGGGGCATGTCCCTTGCACTTGCCGTGTCCCCCAGTGTGGCCATCCTGCTGTATCTGAGCCGAAAGTACAAGGCCCCTGACCACTGGTACCCCCAGGACCTGCAGGCCCGCGCCCGCGTGGATGAGTACCTGGCATGGCAGCACACAGCTCTGCGGAGTAGCTGCCTCCGGGCCACGTGGCAGAAGGTGAGCTGCACCTGGGCCGTGTGGCACACACGAGGGGCAGGGCCCCTCCCAGGATGCTCCACGAATGGTGCTTTCTGTTTAAAACATGCCCTCAGACCTGAGACCGTAGAACACTGACTTCTAGAGTGCAGACTCCCTAGGCTAACTGACTTCAACTTGTTTCTCAGAGGGGAACCTGAGCACAGAGCCAGGGACTGACCCCCAGGTGCTGCTGGAAATGAATCCTCTGCCCTTTTGCACACTCCCAGCTGCCTGGGAAGACTGCCTTTTGGGGGAGAAAAAAATCAAATCCTCACTTTGCTACACATAGACTCTCCAGATGGAGAGGTCAAGTTAAGTGAAAAACTCAAACTAGGAGGAAATGAGGAGACATTTCAAGAAATGTCGGTCTGCCTTCTGGGTGGGCAAGGATTTCTAAGCCTAAGAAGAGTGGGAGACTTAAAGTAGTGTAATTGATTTTACACAAACAATGAAGTTTTGTGTAAGGAAAAAAGGATTAAACTTAAAACAAGCGAAAAACTGGGGAAGATCTTGGCAAAGATATATTAGAAAGAAATAACGTTTTTAATATTTAAGATATTCTTAGAAACCCATCAGACAAAGACACGAGAGAAAAATGGGCAAAGGAAACCAGCAGAGATTTAATTGAAGGAGAGAGAGAAATGGTCAATAACTGATGGAAACACATTTAACCTCAGTAAAAATCCAGTCAGTGCACATTAAAGCAGCATGCACGTACCATTGTTCCTTATCAAACGTGCAGGGGTTTTGAAACGTGTCCTCTGAGTTATTATTTGCAGAGTGCTTACATGGTGCCCGGCAGGAAGTGGGTGTCCTGTGTGTGAGGGAGCATGACACGGGCATGCTCACGCCCTGCTGCAGGGAGGGCACCACTGTTCTGAAGGGCCATTTGGCAAAAAGTAGGTTTCCATAACCTTAAAAGTGTCTTCCTTGAGCCCCTAGGGGCTGGGAGAGGAGCCCCCTCAAGCTGGTGGGGGCAGGAGCCTGGTGCATTTGAGGGCAGAATGGAGAGAAGTCGAGTCGAGTGAGTGTAGACCTTTGCTACTCAGACGGTGGTCCCTGGACTAGGAGCATCAGCATCACCTGGGAGCTTGTTGGAAATGCAGAGTCTCGGGCCCCAGTACCCAGGCGTACTGATTAGGAGTGTGCACTGTTAACCAGACCCCAGAGGGATTCGCGTGCACATTCCCGTTTGAGAAGCCTGGAGTGGAGTAGGAGGTGGGGGTGGGGAGATAATGGCTGCTGCACCGGTGAGGGCCTTGTGTTGAGACCTTTTCTGGTGAGGGCACTGGGGAGCCATGGAAGGCTTTATGCAGGGAGAAGACCAGGGCAGACTGGATTGCAGAAGGATCCCTGCTGGCGGCCCTGTGTGAGGACCCAGGGAGAGGTGGAGGCTGTCCCTGTTGGGGTAGGAGATGACACTGATGGTGGCCGTGGGTAGAAAGGGGTGGGCTGGAGTGAGGAGAAATCTGAAGGATTGGTGATAGACTGGATGAGAGCAGGAACCAGGGTGGGTTTGGGAAAGACCCTGAGCCTTCTGTCTGCCTGCCCACCCACCAGTTGATGGGCCCTGTGTTACTGGGTGAACGAGTGCCCCCCGAGACGTTGGCGTCTACTCTGGCCGAGCTGGACAGGTGCCTGCAGTTGCTTGAGGACAAGTTCCTGAAGGACCAGGCCTTCCTCGCCGGGCCCCACATCTCAGTGGCTGACTTGGTGGCCATCACAGAGCTGATGCATGTGAGTGCCGAGGGGTCGGGTTGCCCACTGGGCAGTGGGGCATCCTGGGAGGGAGTCAATGTACCAGCTCATGTTGCCCTTTCTGGCCCTGGGACCCTGGGCGAGTCACTTCCCCCTCCGAGCCTCAGCATCCTTATCTGTAAAATGGGGCTTCAGAATCCTGCAGGGATATTGAGGAGCTTCCCAGTGTCTCCTGGAAGAGAACCTCAGCCTACCACTGGTGTGGCAGAGGAGGGAAAGTCCACCAGAGGAATCCCTAACCAGGTCATGCTGCCTTGTACTTGACCGTGCTCAGCCCCCCGCCCGGCTCCCTCTCCCCATAGCCCGTCAGCGCCGGCTGCCAAGTCTTTAAAAGCCGACCCAAGCTGGCCGCGTGGCGCCAGCGCGTGGAGGCCGCCGTGGGGGAGGACCTCTTCCAGGAGGCCCACGCAGTCCTCATGAAGACCAAGGACCTGCCTCCACTGGACCCGGCCGTGAAGGAGAAGCTGAGGCCCTTGGCGCAGGTTTTGTTGCAATGAGCGGGGGCCAGGCCTGCAGAGCCAGCGACAACGAGGGAGACTCTGTCGTCAGAAGAAAGAGATGCCTCTCCTTGGCTGTGAGCAAGAGATCCTGCATAGTCTCCGGTCCGCAGTTCCCTCCATGCATCAGGCCTGCCTTCCTTCTTTTGTCTGTCTCCTCCCTTACCCCTTAACACTCTGACTTCCATGTGCCCTCTGGAGAGAGCTTTAATAAACACATATTGACCCTGTCCCTTCTCTGTTTGAAACTTTCCACGGTGACTCATTGACCTGAGGCTGAAGTACAGGTTACTCAACTTTGCATTCAAAGCCTTGCGCCCACCCCTCCAGGCTACCCCCTCCAGGTTGCACACAGTAGCCCATCATTTCCCGGCCCTCCCAGCTCCCACCTCAGCCTCCTAACCTTGGCTCAGGCTGTGTCCACTGCTTCCAGAGGCCTCCTCACCTTCTTTGCGTGGTGCCCCCCGGGCCTTTTCGCATGTGTCACCATGTGGGTTCTCCAGGGACACTTCCCCAACCTCCCCAGCCCCTGGGGGAGTCAGGTGATCCCGTCTGGGCTCCTCAGCCCAGTGCTTCCCCCCTCAGTCCTGGCAGGGAGCTGGTTCCACGCCCCCTGGGCTGAGCACAGATGGGGGTTGACCCGGTGAAGAATCAGGTTTGAATCAGGCCTCAGTCTCCTAGGTCTCTCTCCCTCTGGGTGACACTCTCTCCCACAGGTGGGGTGCAGGCCTGGTGCATGAACCTCCTTGCAGGGAGGGAAGTCCCAGGTTAGTTCCTGGCCCCCGGGTGCTGCCCAGTGGCCTTGAACCCCCCTGCCTCCTCATAACCCCACCACTGTCTTCTCCATGCCCCACTGTGGGTCCCACACTTGCCACCTGTCCCTGTCCTTTCCCCTCAGGACTGTCACCACCTACCTGCCTTGTGTCCCAGACCCTCTGATATCTGAGTCATCTAATAAACTGCTGATGGGACAGGGTCATGACCAGACAGAGCCTCCCGCCCGCCTGCCTTTCTGTGGAGGCTCCTTTAATATGCCCGCTTATATAGAATTTTAGATGTGTAATTGAAATTGTTCATATACACCCACACAATTATATTTTCATCTACAATTCAAACCACTTTGCAGTACTGATGAGAGCACCCTGTTTAGCCTTTTCAACAGATGTCCACGGTTTAAATAACACCTTTTGTTTTGCCTACAAAAAGGTAGGGTACCCTAGACGTTGCTGGGAAGTCGACCAGGACCTGGCTCGCTCTCACCCCCTGGTGGACAGTACTTCACTGTGAGGCGAGGTTGCCGCAGGCACAAGAGGCCACAAAGGCAGACGTCTGTGGGGGCCAGGTAGGGATGCAGTGAGCCCGAGGGTCTCTGTCCAGCCCTACCCGAGCCCACACGTGTCACCAGGTCTCCTGATCAAGAGAAGCGCAGGTTCCCACGTTGAACGTGAAGTTGCCTGAATTTGAAATGATGGCAACTCATTCAACAACATTTGTTAAGCCTCTGTGACGATGTAACGTTATTAGGGTCGAGCCTGGGGAACGCCCCTACGGCGTGTGTGTTTGCGGGGCGTTCAGACCGCCATCTAAATGTGGGCCAGGAAGCAGACACCGCAGCGCCCGAAAGCCACAGGGGACGGAAAACCCCGGCCAGTGTGGCGGCAGGGGGCGCGGGACTGGGGCGCAGTGAGCGGGGCCACGGCTCGGCCGACGCCTCGTTGGGGGTGGGGTTACACGGAGTGGGCGGGGCGGCAGGACTTCCGGAAATCAGCTCCCGCGTACGCCGAGGTTGTCGGCCGGGGCCGGGGTAGGCAGCCAATCGGGGGGCGCTGCCTGCCTGCCCATCCAATGAGGAGCCCGGTTCCCGTGGCGCCCCGCCCCTGCCCCCTAGTCTCTGACCCTTGGAACATGGACCCGGACTCCGCGCGTTCTTTCTCCGCGGTGGTGGTTTGCGCGCCTTCCTGCTAGACATGCCGTTCCTTGAGCTGGACACGAACTTGCCCGCCGGCCGCGTGCCCGCAGGACTAGAGAAGCGGCTCTGCGCGGCCGCCGCCGCCATCCTGGGCAAACCCGAGGACGTGAGCGTGGGCCTGGGAGCACCGGGTTGGGGGAAGTCGGTGGACCAGGGGTCGGGCTCTGTCCACGCCCCGGCTGTCCCACCGTGACCGACAGGGACCCCTGACCTCCCGCTCTCCACACTCCCCACGTCTGCTCCGTGTCGCCTTCCCCAGCCATGACCCCAACGTGACCTCCAGGGACCCCGGCCGGTGCCCCCAGTCCTGATCCCACGGGCCCGTGCGTCTCGGACCGACCCCGCGCCGTTCTGTCCTCAGCGCTAGCCTGGCCTACAGCGGCTTCTTTCGTGTCCCCCGCAGCGCGTGAACGCGACGGTGCGGCCGGGCCTGGCCATGGCGGTGAACGGCTCGACCGAGCCCTGCGCGCAGCTGCTCGTCTCTTCCATCGGTGTGGTGGGCACGGCCGAGGAGAACCGCGGCCACAGCGCCCGCTTCTTCGAGTTCCTCACCAAGGAACTGGGCCTGGACCAGGACCGGTGCGTAGGAGCAGGGAGAGGACCCTCTTGGACTGCTGCGCCACCGGGGGATAGTGATCCTACCTCAATGCCCCTCCTAAAGTTGGGGGAAAAAATAAATTCCTGGCACTGCAGAAGACTTGACCCTTGACCTCTCTGGCCCCCTGGTGGAGGGTCAGCCTTCAGAGTGGTATCAGAATTGAATGAATTCCTGGCTCTGCAGCTGTCCCTATGACACCTGGGCAAGGCGTGACCTCTTAAACCTCAGTGTTTCCATCTGTGAAGGGGGAAGCCTTTCCTTTAACCACTCCCTGGGGACACTGCATGGGATGGCAATGTATTATATTTGCCTCGGCACCTGGCAGGTTAGGATGTTGTTATCTGACAAAGCCATAGCCATATCAGCTGCCTACATCTTAGAAAATCAAGAGTAATTTTCTTGGAGAATTTCTCTGGCCTGGTGAGGTGGAATTCTGGGTATGTCCTGAGGCTGTGGCCTTTGGGCCTGTGGCCCAACCAGGTCCCAGGTAAGGCTCCCAGGAGGGTCACGGAGTAGTGGAAAGAGCATTGGTCCAGATGTCTGGAGGCCTGGGTTCTGGGTCCAGCATAGCTGGGGACCCAGACAAACCTGGAAGTGAACCCTCTCTGGTTTGTAGCCTTCTCTTCTGTGAATAGAGAGGCATGGATTCAGTGATTCCCCAGGAAGCCCCTACAGCTCCCAAACCTGGGATCCTGTGGCAAGGTTAAAGTTTCTTCCTGGGCGAAAAATATTCCTGAGCCCAGTCCATGCCTGTGAGGATCTAAGGGCATGAGAAGGTTGAAAGAACCTTTGAGAATGGAGCCTTTGTTGGCCCAGAAAGGCTGGTGAGGAATGGTCACTCCTGGGAGGTGCTCGGACCTGGTCCTCAAGGTGAGGAGAGATGATAATTCTAACAACAATAAGTAATGTGCGAATACTTATCACGCACCAGGTGCCCTAGAGGTGCCTTACGGGCATCATCCCATTTGATCCTTACAAACTCTGTTCCCCTCTGCACACCCGCTCATGCAGACATGCCACCCCCATGGCGTAGATACCTCCATTATGCCTAGTTACAGATGAGAAAACTTGAGGTGGTCACACATACTCCCCCCAAGGGTGTCCTGGGAGCCTGCAGTTTGGAAGAGGGAGGGCTGCCCTCTGAGCCCATAGACAGGGCATACAGTGACCACAGAGGCTGCTGTGTTGAGTAGCCTTCCTGGGTGGGACACAATGAGGTGCAGCCACCATCCCGCCCCTGACAGGCCCACTGCCCTGTTGGGGGTTGGGAGGAGAGGCAGGCTTGCAAATGCCTGGGGGGCTAAGGCTGGCTGGCTGGGGAGCCCACGGTGGGAATGCCTGGCTAGGGGTCTTGGAATAAAAGGCATTAGCCAAGGAGCTGATGACATCTTTTTCTTTGTCTCCTGAAGGATAATTATGCGCTTTCTCCCCCTGGAGCCCTGGCAGATTGGCAAGAAGGGGACAGTCGTCACTTTTTTATGATTGGCATGGAGAGCATCCAGGGCATCTGTGAGCTGGCGGCCCCTTCCAGAGAAGCCTTCTGGCAGAGTGAGGGCTTGGTGGATACCAGCTTCTGGCACCCCCATGTGCAGACATGCCTGTGACCTCACAATCCTCTTCTTCCCCATCCTCATTCAAATAAATGAAGAGAGCTTCGTCTTTCAGACACGACTTCTTTACTTCCTTTTACCCCTCCCTGGCATTCTGGGCCATCCTGGGCAGAGGGGCTGGCTAATGAGGTGGGGACTTGAGGGAACCTGGGAGGTGGGATGTTTCCTGTCTTCAGGGCCGCTCTTTCATGTATTGTATTTAGGCTGCTCAAATCCGAGGGTGGAGGGCTCAGCCCGGAGGCCCTGCTCTCCATGCCCATGTGCAGGCTGGTAGGGAAGGCTGCCAGCCTGCTCTAGCCTGGGCCTTCCTGCAGACTCTGCTGACCAGATGTTTCCATTCTCAGCCTGGGCTGGTCTGGGCAGTTCCCTCCCCTTGAAGGGGACTGCTGTGCCCAGCAGGAGAGCAGGGCAGCCTGGGATTCAGAGACCTTTCCTGGGCGTTGCCAAACTCCCTCTTCTCCCATGAGTCTTGCTGAGAATTCTCTGTAGCTGTGCACCTTGTAAAATCCATGTCCCAGAATGGCAAACCTGGAAAGGCAATGTCTGCCACTAGAAAGTGAATGAATGGGATCTCCGCCCCCCCATCAAAATACCATGTCATGCTTTTGCATTTCAGAGAATATACAGGTGGGGTGGGGGGAGCCCAGAGGAAGTGTCCTTTTCAGTTTCCTTCCAGATGTTCAATGAAGAGTTTACATGTCTTAAGACTCTGTGGTGGGTGCTGTGTTTCCCTGCACTGTTAAAGGTTTGATCATCCTTGTCTGTAGTGCACCAGTGAAACACCAGATGGAGATTTTCAGTCTACGCAGTCCACCTAGTTAATAAAGTTAGTTTCCAGTGGAATGTGCCTCTGCCTGCTGTGTTTGTACCTGACCACTGCTGAAGACTCACGAAAAGCTAGAGCTTGGAATTCCTTCCCCTGGCTCCCTGTCCCAACTGTTTCTGCAGTCATTCCTTCTGCCAACATGGGTGTCCTGCTTCCCAGAGGGGCTCAGGGAATATTTGTGGGTTGTATGTAAAAGAGCGATTGAAGTGCCCAAGGAGGGATTCAGCCCTAGCCCCTGCCAGGACCATAAGGCAACAGCCTCCAATCTGGTCTCCCCACCTTAAATCTCTCACCCCACTGTAGTGAGAGGGATGTCATCTGCTTGCTGTGGGGACTGGCCCTCCCCCCTCTCCAGCATTATCTCTCCCCGTTGTGGCCCTGAGCTTTGTCCCCTGGCAATACCGTGCTGCCCAAGGCTTCTGCCTGTGGCCTGCACTCTTTCTCACCTCCAAACCCTTGCCACACAGCTCCCTGCTGTTTGGACCACCCTTCTCATGTTTTTTCGACTGTCTCAGACTGTCTCCAGAGCCCCTTTCAAGATACAACTGGGGGTGGAGGCTGCACCCTAGGTTGCATGTTATCCATGAAACTTTGAAACCATCTGTTTATGCTTCTGTTCATTGCCCCTGTCCCCCAAGGCTGTACGCCTCTCAAAATCAAAGTTAGTGACTCAATTATTTTTGTACCTCCTGGCATATCAGTAAAGCTTTCTTGTACTGAACTGACTCTATGAGTTCTTCACCAGGATTTTACTGTCTTGAAAGTCAAAAAGAAAGTCATGTCATTCATTGCTATTTAAATCATCCTTGCTGGACTCCAGCAGCTATGAGGTTCAACCACAGGGTGAAGCCCTCCCCCAAAACGCTCAGCTCCCAAGAGCGTGACGTCTCTCAGCCCGAAGCTGAAGCCGCGCTCGGCAACCCTTCCGTGCGGGACCCTCTTCTCGGCTCTGGAATGCTGTCACTCCCTCGCTTCCCGGGTCTCTGAGTTTTGGGTTTTTCCCCCCTTTGTTTCACTAGTTGATTGCATCTGTGCCTTTGGGCTTCAAATCCTTTTCGGAAAGAGGTGAGGCACAGGTAATATGAAGAAGACGACTCTTCCTCCCCGGGTTCCCTCTAAACGTTCCCCACGTTTCCACTGCCTTCAGAGCACCTGTCCCGCTTGTAACAACAATAACACAGCCCGTCATTCGGCGACTGCTCGGGGCCAGGCACCGAGCCCGACTCTTCACACGTATTACCAGCGGTGGAGCCGGGAGTCCGACCGCTCCGCGAGCCGGCGCTCCGAGGCCACAGCAGCGCGCGGACAGAGCGAAGACTCACGGAGGTTCAAGATGCGCTTCAGGCCGCTCGGCTCGGCGCCCGACGCCACCCGCAGGGGCCCAGCAGCCCGCCGGCCGGGCGGGCGAGCAGCGCGTGCGCCTCGCTGATTGGCTGGCGGAGCCGGCACCGCAGCCAATGGGAGCGCGCCTTGTTGTCAGGCGCGCAGCCGGCCGGCGCGGGGGACGGGGCGGTCGGGCCGTTGCCGTGGAGATGCCTGGTGAGTGCCGGGGAGCGTGGGGCGGGCGTACGCGCGGGTTGGGGGCGGCCCCCGGGAGGTGGGGCGCGACTCTGCGGAGCCGGGGCGGGGTGGGGGCGCGGGCCTGAGGGGCGGCCGGCGCTGGGGGATCCCCCGGCAGCCTCGGTGCGGCCGTCGCAGAAACCGAGGCCGGAGCGCGGGAGCGACGAGGCCGGGCCTCCAGGCCGCCCCGGGGGCCGCCTCACGGCTCTGCCGCCGCCCCGGGGGCCAGGACGGGCCCGGCCTCGGGAGTGGTCTCAGGGACCACAGCACGAGCCGCCAGTGATCCCGCGTCTGCCCGGGCCGAGCCCGGCGCTGACCCTTGACTCGCGTCCTTGCCCTTCACCTTCGCAGCAGCCCTGCGAGGTGAGTGTTGTGATGATCGCCCTTTACCGGGAGGGAACCGAGGCCGGGAGGTCTGGGGACTCGTCCAAAGTCACCCAGCTAACCGGGGGGCAGCCCGACTCCCGACGGCGGTCTTGACTGCGCTGCCTCCCGGGCCGGGGCGGGCCTGGCCAGGCGGAGCTTGCCGGCGCTCGCAGGTGTCTGCTCCAGCGGCTGGGGGCGCCACTTCAGTCTTGGGGCCTGGGTACGACAGGCCGTGGCCGTGGGACGGTCGGATCCCGGGCGGCCAGGGTGCCTTCCGTGTGGTTCATAAGCGTGGTTAGAACTGAAATATCCTTAGAGGGGGCTGCTTCAAGGGCCCGCAAACTTTTGTTGTAAATATAATAATAGAATAGTATTTTTTTTTTAAAGATTTTATTTATTTATTTTTTCCCTCCAAAGCCCCAGTAGATTGTTGTATGTCATAGCTGCACATCCTTCTAGTTACTGTATGTGGCACGAGGCCTCAGCATGGCCGGAGAAGCGGTGCGTCCTGTGCCCCGGGGATGCGAACCCCGGGCCGCCAGCAGCGGAGCCCGCGCACTTAACCGCTAAGCCACGGGGCTGGCCCGGGAATAGTGTTGTAATATGTTGTGAATATAATAAGTATAATCATACTTATAAGAGTAAGTATTTTAGGCTTTGTGGGCCAGACTCTGTGTACTCCACTCTGGTGTCAACTGTGGATACAGCCAAAGACAATACATAGGAGAGTGGCCATTTTCCAATAAAATTTTATTTATGGACACTGGAATTTGAATTTTATATAATTTTCATGTGTCACAAAGTTTCTCAACCACTTAAAAATGTAAAAACCATTCTTTGCTCCTGGGCTGTACAAAAACTGTGGGCTAATTAGCTTGTGGACGCCTGGTCTAGTTCAGAGCTTCCTACTCTGAGACTCGGAGAGGGGCATCTTAGAGCAAGTCAGCGGCACAGCCTGGTAGTGCCACCCTGAGCTGCAGACCTAGGCTTCCCGGCTCCGGGCCAGAGCACACAGGAGACGTCACGGCTCATCACTGGACCCGGGTATGAGATGCTCAGAGTGTGCTCTTCTTTATCGTGTGTTCTTAAGGCCGTGAAAACCATGCTCTGAGGAATTTGGAAACTTGTAAGATTGAACTCCTGAATGCGCTATTCTGAGAAAGTGCAACTGCTGGGCTGCGAGTCTGAGAAATGAGTAGATACTTTCTTATGTTTATGCAGTAGCTGCTTTTTTTTAAGCTCCTTTTAGTGGGTTTGTGGTTAACAATACAGATGTGGTCCCCATCCTCACATTGCTACAGATGATAAATACATAATCTCAAATGGTTATTTCTTTTTAGACTTTTTATTTTAAACTAATTTTAGATTTAGAGATTGCAGCAATAATACTGTGAGTTCCCATAGGTCACTCAACCTACTTCCCCTCAGGTTAACATCTTATATAATCATAGTATAATTATCAAGAACAGGAAAGTAACATTGGTACAATATTATTATCACACCTACAGACCTAGTTCGAATTTCACCTGTTTTTCCACCAGTGTTCTATTTTCATTCCGGGATCCTATCCAAGATCCCATATTGCATTAAGTCATTTCTCCTTAGTGCTTAACAGTTACGTGGTCTTTTCTTGTCTTGGCCTTCTACTTGTAAAGAGTAGTGATCAGTTATTTTGTCTAATATCCCTCAGTTTGGGTATGTCTGATGTTTTCTCATGAAAACATTGGAGTGACGTTATGTGTTTTTGGCCAGAACAACACAAACATGGTGTTCTTCTCAGTGCATCATATCGAGGAGTTGAAGATGATGTTGTGTCTTATTACTGGCGATATTTACCTTGATCACTTGATTCAGTTGGTGTTGCCAGGTTTCTACACTGTGAAGTCACTCTCTTTCCCTTTCCAGTCGGTAAGTGTCTTGGGGAGATACTTTGAGAGGATGCAAATTCCGGTTCTCACAGATTTACACTCACTGACCTTAGCATCCACCTGTGGATCTTTGTGTTGTTTGCCTAAAGGTAATTTCCTATTTCTCTCTCTCCTTTTACATTTATTAATTGAAATTCAATTGAAGGAAGAGCTATCCCTTCTCTCCTTTATTTATTTGATTATTATTTGTGTCAGGATGGACCCCATGGATATTCATTGTATTCTATGGGTCAAAATCTAATATTATCATCATTTTGTTGCTCACTGTTCCGGCTTTGGCTATTTAGGATCTCCTTGAGGTTAGCTGTGACAAACCCTCATCAATTTTTTGAGCACTTGCTTACTTTCTGGCACCGCAAGATGTTCCAGGCTCA